TTTGTATGATTACAAAAAAGAATTTGAAGTAAGTCTATCAATATGGAAGCAATCAGCTTAACAGGCTCATAATGTGGGGTAAATGACAGAGAAAATTCAGAATTACAAAATTCCTTTCTCCACTTTTTCTAATCAAAATGGAACATCAAATAACAAATACCTTAAAAGGAAACTGAACTTAAGAAATCAAGAAAATGTAAAGCAACCAGAGACCCTCCCCAGTGCCTTAGACGCATTCAAGTCTTAGGCCCATCTGCATTTTATCATAGTGCAGAATCCCAAAGAGTTACGTTATCACAGCCGACTCACAGGAATCATAGATCATAGACTACACCCAACTTCACTGGCAATTGGCGAAGCATACAGTAACGACGGAAAGACATGTAGTAACAAAAAGACTTGAAGTGTCTCTCACAGTCTCCAAAAAATTGCTTTTTTTCAAATGGGATGCAGTTTGGTTCCAGAATAACAGATGAATGCTCATTATGTGTGTGGTGCAAGCTATCTCAGAAAACAAATAATAATAAGTTTAAGACTTCTCAGTTATTTCTCATGCAGATAAAGAGCTCATTTGACTAACTTCCACTCTCCAGCCATATGCATCACATAAACCCACAAATTAAGGGTTTAGTTATAATAAGTAATCGAGATAGAAAAAGAATACCCAAATAAAAACATTCTTATATTTGAACCCCCTAGATCATCTTTGTGTTATTAAATCTCCTTGGAATGTTTACAGGAGGCCTGGTGGAGGTCAGCACCTGGCCCAGATTGTCTTCAGGAAGGGAAGGGGGGATTTACAAAACCACAGTTAACTCCTTCCTTCCCATTAGGGTGCTAACGGACTCATAACTATGATTTCAGAACCATAGCAAGGTGTTTACATATTCATGCTACAATGGAATGAAAGCCCCATTTGGGTAAACATCTCAAAGGGAGGTACAGGGCTGAGCTGATAAAATTCACATCTCTTCTAAGCTGACTGCAAAAATACATGAGTAAACAGATGATTTACTAAAAGCCTGTTATAATTAACCAATATTAGATTTGTTGGTATTAACACTGTGGCACAACAAGAACTTGTCATAGACATGCATCTTGATTTCAGGAAGGAAATGCAGACAAGCACCAGTACTTCTTATAAAGAACAGAAAAAACTGTCTGCTACATGATAGAAGAATGTTGTAGTTTTATCATTACAGTAACCAAAACAGGTTTATCAATTATATCACTGACCATCTTAAACTAAAAAATCTAGTATATGGTATAAGGTCTTTTTAAGGCTTTTTTTCTACTCAGGTATTGTTTTTGTTTTGGAATGGAGAAGAACTATTAATAGATAAAAGCATAGAAGTCATGTGTTAGGTGATACAAAGTTGAAAAGGAGTATACTTTTTAAAAATTAAATAACAGAACTCCCACAATTAGAATTCAAGAGGTTTTCAGCTGGTTGGAATGATTGGCTGAAATCAACAAAATAATATGAACAGACATAATTAAAAAGCACTAAATTTCTGTTTTAATCTAATATTTCTTTAAGTATAGAACAAGGATCAGCAAACTATGGCCCAAGAGTCAAATATATCCTACCATCTGTTTCTACAAATAAAGTTTAATTGAAACACAACCACCCCAGTGATTTCTGTGTTGTCCGTGGCTACATGCTACAGCGGTGGAATTCAGTAGTTGTGATGGAGACTGAATGACCCTTGGTTTCTAAAGTATTTGCTATCTGGCCTTTAACCAAGAAAGCTTGCTAATCCCTAGCTCTGAATGATGTATGCTCAGACTGACAACAGTTTATGTGAAGATCTTAAGTTTTAGTTGATAATAAGCTAACAACAACAAAAAAATAATGCCATCTTAGTTTGCATTAACGGAAAAAAAATAGTAGTTATGACCGCTAAGGCTGTATATGTTATTTATAGCACTTGGCAGGCCATAGTTAGAGGATTGGATGGAGTTTTGAATGCCCCACCTTGACAGAGACAGAGACAACCTGGATAGCACCCTCAAGAAAGTAACCAGATAGGCAACATGGGTAAATGAGTTCTAGGAATAACCTTAGTAGAAGCTGGCAGGTCTCTGTTCTTTGAAGGACAAAGCTGGTACTGAGTTCAATTTGAAATGTTCTGGCAAAGTATAAGGAAGTCTTTTTTGAATGTTAAATGTCCACCAAAGTAGCCAATTACTTGAGAAATGAGGACTTTTGTCTTTAACCTTCCTGTCGGAGAACCCAGAGGGAGACTTACTGCTTCTCATTGGGGATATTATTTATTATTGTAGGCAAGAATTCCTCGTTGCACAGGATTTCCTGTTCATTAGGGACATTAGCATCTCAGTGCTTTCAGAACTAAGTAACCACAACACTCATATCCCCAATACTCCCATCACTCTGATAACCTGCGTGTCTCCACACAGGCTTAAATGCCCTAGGTGAGTAGAAAGGCACAATGCTGCCCTGGGTTAAAAAGTAAATTGGGAGGATCTGCTGTACGAATTCCAGAGGAAAATTATTGAATAACTTGAATCAAGGAACCACATTTTCATTCCAAAATTCTATCCACTTATTCCCTCATTTATTCATTTGTACAACAATCCATTTGTACAACAAACAATTGAGCACTTTTTCCGGTAGAATCTGTGATTCTACTGTTTTATCTGAGGCTGGCTGGAGGGCAGACATTTCCTATAGGTTAACGTTACTGCCTCTGTAATAGCCACATCTCTGTGAACTGTTCGGCTGAGCTACGTAAATAGCGCAACGCTTCCACCCAACAATCCTGCCCCTCACCGCAGCATGGAGGCAAGCGGCTCCAGGTCATACATTTCTGTGGACTTTCCCTAAGTGTTGTGGATAATAAAGCTGAGGAACCAGAATATTTCAGCATTCTAGAATGTTATTTGAAGAATCACTAGAGCTGAAATCAATTCTCTCTTCTCTGACAAAAGTGACTGTGGTAGATGATCTCTAAAATAAAATTTTTTAAAAAAGGGAAAAAAAATCCTAAATCCTCTCTCATGCTATCACACCAGTGGAACCCTTCATATGCTGAAAAAATTAAAACAGCTAACATGGGCCTATTTATTGTTGGTACTCTTTACTGTGTGAAACTCTAGCATGATGCCCGTTATGTAAGGAAGACATTACATTATTGGTTGGGATACAGTACAATTGAAATTTTCATTTCATTTCACACTACGCTGCAAACTTCCTGATACTACCATTTCAGATATACCTCAGCTCTTAGGTACACCTTGATACTTCCTCCCAGACAAAACACCAAACAGTTCTCAATTCCCAGCTGGAGTCAGTTCCATGTAAAACTTCCTGTTCTAAAATTCCCAATTTGGGGGCCCACTACAAATCTTGGCTTAAAGACAACAGTAAGAAAAGATAAGTCAAAGAATTTATTGGAATAAAAATCCTCATTTGTGGTCCTATCCTGTTGTCATGAACTATTCTGTTGAAAGTTTGGGTCACAGTAAATTTCATCCATGCAGCGTTCCAATCTTGGCAGAATGCAGAGCAACTTAGATTTATAATTTGAGTCTTTGACTCTCTATATTACTTCTAACTAAAACTAAAGCAGCCTGTAAAGATGTTAAAATGTTTTTCGGATGTTTTTCTTATGTTTCGTGGTTTATACTGAGAAATGTGATGAATATGTATGTTCTTATGAGTGACATTTAAAAATATTAGTTATGTTTTTAGTACCAATTTTTAATATTTTCACAAGTTTTCAAATGAACAGGAAGAAAAAATTATTTCACAAGGCATGCTAAACTTCAGTTGAGCCAACCTTTCAATATTGCTCTTGGTTTTCACTGGAAGGCATTATGGTAAGTGAAATGAGCTAGGCACAGAAACGCAAATGCCACATGTTCTCACTTACATGTGGAATCTACAATAATTGAACTCAAAGAATCACAGAGTAAAATGCTGGCTACCATAGGTCGGAGATTGGCAGGCGTAATGGGGGGATGATTGTCAAAGGATATATAGCCAATTAGAAAGGCAGGATAAGGTTTTTTTCTTTGAGATATATTGCACAACGTGGTGAACATAGTAAATAATAATGTATTATACATTTAACATTGCTGAGAGTAAATTTTAAATGTTTTCATCACAAAATAAATATTTGAGGTGATATGTATTAATTCATTTAATTTAATTATTCCACATAATTCTCATAAATTATAACTTTTTACTTCATAAATAAATACAACTATAATTTTTAAATTTATAATTTAAAATTTAATTTAAAGAAACACATTGCATATGATCTGAAAGTACAAAGCCTGTGATATGGGATGGGCCCAAGGGCTCATGACTGTAATCCCAGCACTTTGGGAGGCCAAGGAAGGATGATTGCTTGAGCCAAGGAGTTCATGACCAGCCTGGACAACATGGCAAGACCCCATCTCTATAAGAAAATTTTAAAACTTTGTTGGGTGTGGTCACACATGCCTTTGGTACCAGCTACTCAGGAGACTGAGGGGGGAGGATCACTTCAGCCCAGGAGTTCAAGGCTGCAGTGAGCTGTGATCATACCACTGCACTCCAGTGGTGACAGAGTGAGACCCTCTCTCAAAACAAACAGATAAAAACTCTGCAGTCTGAGTTATAAAACAATGGAAAAATCAAAAAAATAATAATAAGGACCTCCGCATTAGCTAAAGAAAGATAAATTAAGTAAATTGTTTTCATTGTTCGTACTTTAACATAAATTACTTTTTTTTTCTTAAAGGAAAGTACATGGAAATTTTTAGATGATAGACAGACTTATTAAACCCCACATTTTGTTTTTATGGCTTCTTATAAAACAGTGAATCTGGTGAAATGATGCACTGTATACATGCTGAGGTTTTCCATCCAAAGACAGTGTCAGCAACATTAATGAGCATTACCAAATGCCACACAAGTCACAGTTGCTGACCTAAAGTAACTCACAATTGAGTATAATTAACAATATAGGACTGTGAAAGGAAAAACTTACCTTAAGGTGGATCCACATAGTTTAATAGGTAATACATTTTCAGAAATGTGATAATAAAATCTACGTATTTGAGTACTGAAGTTGAGTGTCCCCAAGCTTATTTTCATAGCCTTTTAAAATTTGCTATGCGCCATGTATTAGCTAGAATAGACTTGCACCTGCAGAAAGGAACATGGTCAAAGATAAATAGGATTGTATACCTAGCTCAGCAGTGGAATAAAAAAATAATGGACTACTTCAGAGATATATTGTCTACTCTTTCTCAAAAGCAATTTTCTAGGGAATTGGAATATGAGGAACTATAAGAAGAAGAAAGAATTGCATAAACTGGGCAATTTTCAGCTTATCAAAGAGCTGTGCTGCAAAGAATTGTTTGAAAGTTGGTTATTTGGCACTCTCTGGGGTTACAAATGGTTTTTGATAGCCCAGGAAAGCCTAGCTAAGCCACAGTGCTATTGATATATAGCATGGCCATAAAGTATTAGTAAAGTTGCAAGCAATACTTATAAACCATGCACAGGGGTTTTATTGAGCAATGTTCTTCTGGATTCCAGAATTACAAAGAATACATCTCCTGCATATTACATCCAAACTCAAGACAACAGCAGAGTCCTGTGACACCTGGAGCAGCAATGACAGGGACAGATGTTGTACAGGAAGATGTATTTCAGACAGCAACAGAGAGGGTAACATTTTAGTGAGCTAAAGGAAAAAGTCCCACGTACCGGAAATGCAATAACTATACTTAGAAATGTTAAGAGAGTTTATGTTGCCTATTTAGAGAGGCATTTTCTCAAGCCAATATCCCTGGTCAGGCCTTCCCAGATTTGTGGTATTATGCATGTACAGGCTACCCAACCAGCACCATACAAAAATAGCCTTTGTAGCAGTAGGGAGAACCTGGGTGTAGACATTCACGGTGTTGGGTTGGAATCTCAGCCCTATTTACCTCCCAGCGATGTGACCATGGGTAAAATACTTAACTTATTGATGTCTCCTTTTTCCTATCTATAAAAGAGGGATAATACTGACTGTGTGGAGGGAAGTTTTACAAAATATGAAGAGTTATGCAGAATACCTAACATAACAGCCATTGCATAAACATGAGCTATTATTATTATACCTTCCCACTTATTGAAACATTGTCAGTGGTGATGTCAATTTCTGATAAATTTAGGTCTTTGGAGAAATTTGCAGAACAGCCATTCTCCAGTCCTTCTTGCTGAGAGATCCCTGACTCTGGTCATGCAGCTAGGTGTCCCACCCAGAGGATAGATCACACCGGACTAAGCCAGGACCATTTTACAGGGATTGATCCAGGGGAAGACAGGGATGCAGTTCTGGTCAATTAGATATGGAAAGAAGTATGAACAGTCTTCTAGGTACGGACAGTCTTTCTCTCCAGACAAAAAGAGAGCTGTGAGAGAGAAGAGGCTGTTCTGCATCTGTCCTTTTCCTTCTCCAGTTGAGTATTTTCATGTGAAAGCATGAGGCTTGTAACTGCTGATGGAATATTGTAGCTAAGCTAGAAGACCAAGGGAACCCAAGAAACATCAACTTGGAGCCCTACCACTATTAAACATTGTTGAACCCCAACCCAGTAACTATTTCTTCCTTGATTTCTTACTATGTGAGATTTGTTATTAATAAATACCCATTGTCTAAATCTGTGCTTCTTAAACACCCTGTGGTTAAGAAATTATATTTTTTTTACATTTTCAATCACTTGAGGACAAAAACTATTGTGAAATACAACAAAAACAAATTCCTAGGATAAATGACCAGCCATTGGATATCATAATACATTAAAATTGCTATAAATGTTTCTAAATGCATACTCTTAATTACTTGGCTACTTGCAGATCAGAAATAAAGTTTGTATTCTGACCAACAATCTATGGGACACATTTTCAGTAGCACCAGTTTAAACAATTTTTTCCTGAATTATCTGCTTCCTATGACCAAAATTAGCCTGATAGTGTAGGAAACATAATAACCCATTTATCAAAAAGTCAATGAATACCTACTGAACAACTGTTAGGTGTGTATCAGGACACAAGCACTGTGGGGAATACAAAAGCAAGTAAGGCAGGACCCTTTCCATTCTTCAAATAGAAGAAAAATATATATGAATAGTAAAAGGTTAACTAAAAAGTAAAGTAATGTGGAACATTAGCATGAAATAATAGTGTAGAGAAGACAACCATCTTATAATATTAAATGTGTTAACGTCACATGTTATCTGCCAAGAGAATCATAACAAATAATTAAGGGAAACATAAGAAACTGCGGATATTTAACCTAAAAACACTGAAATTTTACCATGGTTCACTGATTTAGTAATTTGTTAAAAAGGAAACAAACTGGCAAGTTTTCTGTGTAAGGAAAAATGTTTTGCAGGAAAATCAAATTGAATGATTTGTTCTATTGCTTCAATTCTGAATCATATCTACATGCTCCAAAATTTTCATTGTGGAACACAATAAGATAATTATATTTATGTTTTGTAATAACTCAGAAACCAGAGTTATTACGCTTTTGAAAATAATATGATATCATGCAAACATGTTTGAAATATAATTACTGTACTACAGCAATGATGGATGTGATGCAGGGCAGATGTGCCCCATAATTGGGGCTTAGCCTGGGAGGTTTTGGGTTCACCCAGGGAATAATTCAAGGGCAAGTCAGGGTCTTAGCAACATTTACTGAAGTGGCAATGCACAGCAGCAGCAGAGGTCCTGCTCCTTGCAGAGCAGGGTTACCCCATAGGCAGTGTGCCCAGAGGAGCAGCTCAAAGGCAGTTTGCAGCCATATTTATATCTGCTTTTAATTATATACAAATTAAAGGGTGGATTGTGGAGACATTTCTACAAAAGGGGTGGTAACCTTTGAGTTGTCGGGTCACTGCCAGGGAAAGGGGCAGCAACTTCTAGGTGTTGCCATGGCAGCAGTAAACTGACCTGGCACACTGGTGGGCTTGTCTTAGGGACAGGCGCTTCTCTCTCTTCCCTGTTTTAGCTAGTCCTCAACCTTGTTTGGTGTCTGAGCCCCACCTCCAGAGTCGAGTCCCGCCTCCTGCCTCAGATGGAGCCAACTACAACTATTACATGAGACATACGTTATAATTTCTCAAGATTTCCTTTAAATCACATAGTAAGTAAAACTAACTCATGCAATGTTTCCCTTGAATATGTCTGAAACTTTGATATCTATTTAAAATAATTATTTTTCTTTCATATGTGTATATTACTAAAAGAGGTTTGACATCATTTAATAAGAAGGCAGCATATGAAGAGAGAAATCTTAATTTATTTTAGCATGATAATTCCTACCAAGGTTACATAAATCTGGAACTATTTCACGTCACACTCTAAAGTAGTGGTTTTATGATTCTTTTCAGTAGTACGTACAACTCCTTTCCCAAATGAAGTCTTATTTAGACTCCAGTGTTTACAAAACATAGAATCTTAATTCTTTCACTCAAAATCCTCTGAGCCTTCATTTCCTATGGAGTAAGGCCAGGGGAGGGGTCCAGGGCTCCTTGCTCGGTGTTCCCTTACTTCTTCACTCTGAGGAGTCCAAGAGGAGACTTTCTAGGACCCAAGGATAGGAGAGAGAAGAGTGAACGGAGGGAGACAGGAAGGAGAGAAGGAGGGTGAAGAGACCAAATTCCTTTAAAGCAAAGGAGAACTCAATTTAAATCAATTTTGTGGGCCATGGAATATTCTGAAAAATAGATCCCCAAGGTACTGTTCACTGGCACTGTGGTGTTATATGATAAATGCAGGAATCATACCATCTTGAGGCCACTAACTTTCAGGTACTTAAAAATCTCAAACTCAACTGCAAAAACACCATACACAAAGGTTAAAAGTTTTGAATTGTTTTAAATTTTCTTGCGTCCAAAAATCTGAAGTCACCTGATTACAGTGTTAATGCCACATATTTGTATAAAAATGTGTACTATAAAAATGCAGCCAAAAAGATTTCACCATGCAGAGCTTTCCAGCGACTCTACTTCAGAGTGTTAAAAATTTAAGTGTGAATAAAGAAGGGAATAGGCTTGAAGACACAAATAAAATATAAAATAGATTTACTTTCATATTTAAATAAAATTACCTTATTTTAAATTTTTGTTAAAATATATAAATATTAAAAATGTTTGTTTTGCCAATGCCATGTACCAATTACACGTCTATAGATGTTTACTGAAAGCTGCTCAGTTTATTTCTTTGACTCCGATAATGGCTGTCTCTACCTTTTTGGACAAAAGTATCCCCAATCTATTCTACAGATCTTCACAGAAATATTTTCCCAAATATTCTTCCATAAGCGTTACAACATGTCTGTGTAAACACAGACAAAAGTGTTTACAGAATTTGATTATGTCTGGCAGTTTGTAGAAGAGATTAATTATAGAATAGTCACTTTCATGGCTTTACTGTGAAGAGAAAAGCAAAGAAGTAGTAGAAAGAAGGATGTATGTACTTTCAAGCCCCAGGTAGCAATTTTAAATAATGATTTGGGCAGTAGACAGTTAAGAATAGATCACTTATACACTGACTTAAAATTAATGTAAAACTTCTTTTCTGTAATGGCACCTTTTTTGTACCTGTTTTATCCATGACGTGCTGCCATAAGCTGTATGCTTCTGATATCACTCTTTTCTTAGGTCAAGAAAGCGGCCATGTTGGAAATATTACCTGGCTCCTTTCTCAGCCATATGGATGGAAGAAGGCCAGATCATAAAACATTGCTCCAGGTGACCTCCAAGAGTCTCCACAAGAGTGTCGAACTCACAAAACATGCAGCTAGTGAGAAAGATTCATGGTGTGACACAGCCAAGCTACAGTCCCAGGAGCAGTGGCACATGCACTGTGATGTTGTAATTTTACCATCACAATGGACAGCTGGACACATCAAGCTGCAGCTGGGGTCTGCAGGGTGAGGATGCTGTATCATAAAAATTGGAATAGAAGCCTCTGTGCCTGTATCTTTCTCAGTAGTAAGAGCTTGACACAGAACACAAGCAGCAGCTGTAACTAACTTCGGTGCCAGGTAAACTCCAACTGCATTTTATTACATAGGCCTAGACCAATAACATAGCGTAGAATCACTAGTTAGCAGGTACCAAGCCTTGGGAACCACTAAGGAAGCTTGAGAACCAAGTGGGGAAGGAGTAACAAGGAAGGTGCCCAAGTTTCTCTAGTCAGCCATCTTACAATATTGTTACCTTGTTATTCTTCCCACTTCTAAAACAGAGAAGTTTAAGTATTTAATTAATGTTTTAATGGATACCAACTGCAGAGCTGAAGATAATATACATACTATCTTGACTTCGCCAATATTGGCTCAGGAATTAGGGTGGGTCAGAACATGCCAAGTGGGACAATGACACCAGGGATGGAGAAAACAGGGCAGAAGCAGGTGGCCAGCAGGGAATATATTCCTTTCAACATTCTGAGACAGCTCCTTAGGAGGCGAATAATCCACCATTAGGCTAAGCAATATGAATTTCCTCATTTTTCCTTGTGAACCATTTCCAAATTAGCTTTCTCTTTAAGTTTGACTGTATAGTTTTGAAAATACTTCACTATGAGAAATATGAAACTATCATATTCCTTTGTTTAAATGTATCTGACCAATGTTCAGTGGATTGCTACATATATTTAGCAATTAGCCTATATTTAGGCATTCCAATATTTACTGCTTAAGAAAACATTGTGTTTCTGATTCTTTTGTCTGTAGTTTATTACTGTTTAGATCTTCATACTCAGGACTTTCTTGTAAATTGGCATCATTGCATGTATCGACGTTCATATATAAATATGTAACGTAGTCCTGCCCAAAGCACCATTTCCTCTATACTTGAATGGAAAATAAGTCCAAAAATATTCAATGATTTTATTCCTTAGGTCTACAGATGAAGATTATTAAGTTTGCAATGGTTTACTACACTGTCTTTTCAGTTACATCTATTTCTAATGTCATCTGATTTTTGACTACTATCATAATTATATACCAACTTGGATTAAGTTATGTCACATTAAATATTGCTCCTAGAATGCTAGTCCTGTCATCTAGTTGTGATTCTTCACCCATCCATTCATGAGGTCAGCCTGCAGTATCACTGGAGCACCTTGGAGAAAAGCATGGCTGCAAAGCAGCTGATGGCCCATCAGTGTAATTCTGATGCCTGTGGGATAACAGTTCTCCAGTGTTTTTCCTTTCATTTTGGGCCATGAAAAGTACATAGACATTACAGTTGGCACTTAATCCAAATGTACATTTCAGATTACCTCTTTAATTAATACAAAGCAAACTACATATTGACTAAAGAAGTACATTTCTATTTTTATAAGAGTTTTGACTACCATTATCCTAAGAGCATTTTAAACCTTTATTTGGTGGAATGAAAATTAACCAGCATTTTGGAAACAAATTAAATTTTCTGATAACTAAAAATATAAAAATACATAGTTTAAACATGTTAAAATATGTTTAAATGATATTATCTTTTTAGCCTTGATGTGGTCCTCTAAATGTGAAAACAATATTATTTCCTAAATATAGTGGGACAAAAATCAAGCATTTGGAATTAGAATTCATGCAGAGTTTTGCAAATGCCAAACCAGTTTTTCATCAATAAGGAAAATTAATATGTTTTACTTTGTGTTGTGTTGAAAGAAAAACTGAGCTAAAAAATCATATTACTTATATCTTTAATCAAAACCTCTGCCCTACAATAAATGTATCATTAGTAGGGAAGGAGTTAAAAAGTGTGTAGAAAGACCCTTTTGGTTGGGCCAAACAAACATATTAATAATAGATGACCAATGTGCCTCTGTATGATGTACGGTCTGTGAAATATTACAAAACGTTGTCTTCTACTTGCAAAATGCTTCAACAGAACCACATGCGTGAAGAGCACATCCCTAAGGACAACTCCATCTGTGTATTTCCAACCACAGCTCTCTTATAGATGAAAAGAGTGTTAGGGGATCTTTGCAAGCCTCCTAATGGTTCAGTGGCTTCATCTAGTGCTTCCCTCTAATTGGCCCTGCATTCAAGACGCTCTGTCAGTGGTCTGGTTGCCACATTCAAATCTTTGGCAATCACAATACTACAAGGAAAAGGAAGAGTTTCCCAACAGACATCAAAAAGAATTAGTGGCTTAAACTTTTATGGAGGAAGAGGATACTTGTGAGTGTAGATCCCAGTGGTATTAGCAGATTATATCCGGACAGTGAGAAAGCTTTGTCAGAAGTGGTTCATCAGCTGAAGAAAATAGAGCATGCAAAAATTGCAAAATACTTGGTCTGCAGAAAGCTTGCATTTCATTCTTTTGTTTCGGGATAAGTTGGGATTCCTCCTGAGGGATTCCTAAAACAGATGTCAATAATGAGGGAGAGCTACCCTCTACCAACAGAAATGCCAAAACAAAACAAAAGAAAAAGCTGTGTCCCTGGGTTATTGTCTCTTCTTACTACTCAAGTCATCTGGATTACATTGTAAAAATCACATTTCATGTACAGAAATTGCTTGCTTAAATAATTACTCTTCACAACAGATTTGACCTAAGTCCAGAAGAGTGACTCTTTTTTAATGCAGTCACAATACTACAATCGAAGATCTAATCTAAGATCACACACACACAGTTTGGTTATCTGCATTTCTACATTTCTCATGCTTTAAGCAATAGCATAACATATAATTTCAACATACTCCTTAACTTTCCCACATTTCAGTTTTCTCATCTGTAAATGAGAATATATTAATATCTGCCTCATGAAAATAAGAATGGTACAATGGAATTTGAGGTACAAGAGTATTTTGTTTCACATTGTAACAATGATTGCTTTTTAAAATTTAGAAGAGACATTTTACGAGCTAAATAAGTTTTGGTGTGCTGCCACATAAATCACCTTCTTGAAGCCTTCTTCAAGATAGAATATTTAGTATTTCAATGTGGGGTCAATGGAAAATGCAGATTATCCCAGTCTGGAAGAACCAGATGTGGGTGTCAAAAGGTATTTCAATCATTTCACCGTTGATTATTTGACATCCTTGTGGAAGAAGCTAATTAGGACCAATAATGCCAACAGGTGGAAGAACTGGGTATTGGAGTAAGTCCACCTTTACCTCATGGGAACTAATCAGCACTCATTAAGCAAAAATAACTTTCCCTCATAGCGAGAGATTCTAGATTCTAGTCACTCACCTAGAAGTACAACCTATAACCCATTATCAGTTCTGAATCATTTAGCCACAAATCAGTTACCAACAAATCAGTTACCATGCAAAGTGTATGAACACTTTAGGGAGATCCAAAAGCTATTATTAAGGCCAAAGGATTTAATATTATAATTTTTTGAAAATAAAAATTTCTATTTTATGTTTAAACAATTTTACAGATGTATTCAAAGCAATAAATAAAACACTTAGGTTATAAAATATACTTTCTATACATGCATTAATTAGTTACACTGAAAGCTTATGAATCAGTTCCAATTTGGTACAGGGAAAAAAAACTGGCCTGATGAAGAAAGCCCCTACCTGGTGATATGCTAGTAAATAATTTAACAACTGGCCTTGGGAGCTTAAGGAGGATATTTCTATGCTATAAACACTTCATAAAAAATTTTTAGCTACCAATATGATGTCACTGGATGTACAATTGGGAAGAGATACTCAATAGATAGTCCTCTGTTATACGGAATTTCCACCATACAAACTGTATGTAAAATTCGTACCATGTAGATGTAAAATAACCCCCAGAGCAGAGATAACAGTATACTGCAATAAAATCATTAGAAAGTGTCGACTTTTAAATATATATACTTTTGTTTTTAATATAATTTAATTATAAGTTTATATAGTTAATTTTTAATAAAGCTATATTTAACAACTGGCTCACATGATTCCTGGAAACCTATCAGGAAGCTGTCCCCAGTTGTTACGAGTCAGCTCCGGCCCATGACCGTCTCCATCTACTGTTCACCATCCAGATATAAAGCAAATGAATAGAAGACAATAGAAATCAAAGCAAGTTTTATATTCTCAGAGACATTTAAGATTCAACAGGAGAGACTTTAGTATTGAAGCATCACACACATAACTGCTTTGGAGCTAACAATGGCTCTAGATGATTTCTTGAGGACCTCTTGAAGTTAAGAAATGTTACTTTTCATAAACTATAATTTGAAAGAACTTCATCAAGAATTTATATTTTAAATACAAATTTGATAAATAATTATCATTAACAATCATTTATAGCTCCCATTGTCTTAATTATGATCATTTACAGCTAGCTACCAGCACAGGAAACATAACTTCAGTGTAGAGCACTCCTGTTTGTACTTTAATTAACCAATTTAACCAATCAACATCTGTAGCCTATGGCTTCCCACATGCAAACTCTTATTATACTAGATATTAATCAATACCAAAGTATTACTGTGCCTCTCATTACTGGAATAGAAACTTTGAGAAATATATTTATGACTTATCGTCACCCCTGTTGAGCTCATATCCCTTACGAGAAACTGATCACTAAAATCCTGTTTCAATACTTCTTGTTAATAAAGGAACGAAGCATTCTAAAGAATGCTACTCTATGCAAAAAATGAAAGAAAAAAATCTAAAAAATGAATAATATCATTAACACTGCCAAGATCTTCCCCTTGCTTCCTTTAAAAATAAGCTATCTAATTCTTGCAATTAGAGCCCTTGTCAGTACTCCAACTCCTGCCGCCCACCCACCTTCACCTTCATCTCCCTTTACCAATGGATAAAAGTTTCTCCTCCAATTCAATGAACTGCAGATGCTCTTACCAGTGTCAAACAGAACAGCAACCTACTAGTTCAAGTGTTTCACATTCTCCAAGTTAAGTCAATGCCTTCACCTGATGATTTTTGTTGTTCGTTTATTACTATGCTTATCTTACAATATCTATTCTCTTATACTCTATCAAGACCTAAGGTAAGAATGTTCCATTACAGGGCATTCATAGCCTACCTTCCATTTTATTTCAATATCTTTGCAAAACATATCAAATTAAAAATGTAAATTAGATAGTTTGTGCTATACGTCATTTGCATGTACTACCATTTAATTGGCATTTTGAATACTAATCACTGATGAAGTATTTTCGTCTAGTGTTATATTCTGCTGTAGATGCATGTTCACACACATTAACACAAATTAGTGTTAATGGGGATTAAAAGCATGAATTTTTGATGCACCTAAGAAAGAAGCTATACTAAATATAACCTTATCAAGTATTTGCCAAATAGTCTTCCTAAAATTGACCTCAAAGCATCCACTAATTGTTTGGAAAATCTCTCCTCTTTTTCAGAATTAATGTTAAAGTGTAACATAGAAAGTATTATAAGAAAATCAAAATAAGCAATAAAGAATAATTTGTGGTTTTCTTTTTAACTTCTCATTGTTGTCCAAAATCCTGTAAATCTTAACTTTCACATTCATCAGCTTTATTTTTAAAATAAGTAACATATTTATTCTCTCATTCCATATCATCTGCACAATGTTATCAATCATCCAACCCTCAACATGTTGTAAAGCCAAAAGGCACCAATACTCCAGCACTATGCCCACTATACCCTTCGTGCAAGTGCAGCAAGTGCCAAATTTCTGTGTAGCACAGGAACATCTTCGTGCAGTGTACACGGTGCACAAACTAATATTAAGGCCTTGGGCCAAATACACTCTACTTGTCTCCTGAATTCTTCAATGTTGCCGATCTGCTGTTTGCTCCAGTTTTCTTCCTCACCCTATTTTGATTTCATTCAGACGCTGGGACCTTGGGAAAAAGGGAAGGTCTATGTCTCTCTAGCTCAATAACATCTTGTCTGTCATCTTTTTCCCAAAGCATCTCAATTTTGTGTTTTCCGTTCTGATTTTTATTTTTATTTTTAATGAGTTATTTGTATTAAGTGCTTGTAAACCTTATTTATTTATTTGAAACAGTGTCTCACCCTGTCCCCAAGACTATAGTGCAGTGGCACCATTTAAGGCTCACTGCAGCCTCGTACTCCTGGGCTCAACTGATTCTCCTCCCACCTCAGCCTCCAAGTAGCTGGGACTACAGGCACAGACAGCCACAACCATCTATGTTTTATTTTTGTTTTCATTTTGGAGAGGTGGGGTCTCCCTGTCCTTCCAGAGCTGGTCTGGAACTCCTGGGTTCAGGGGATCCTCCCACCTCAGCCTCTCAAAATTTGGGGATTACAGGTATGAGACACCATGCCCAGTCAATCTGATCAAAAGATCAAAAACATACATTGCGACATCACAGGCACAATTTGTGAGAGAAAGGTAAAAAAATAAAATAAAATAAGTAGTTTATGTTTTAAAAGCAAAGACTATTGATGTTCTGGGGTAGAAAATGATTTATTTCCCAGAATCTTTTGATAAAGATTATCCTCCTAAGGGAAAAAAAAAGACTACGCAAAACAAAAATCTACATATAAGTAACCAGAATGAAAATGATTTGATTAAAATGGAGAATATAATTTGACAAAAACAGAAGCAATTCATTATTTTATAAAGAATAAAAACCACATTATAAATAAATACTTCTTTCTATTTCAGTGAATTTTGTTCATCTCCATTTTCTTAGTTTTACAACCTTGAAATTTGCTTCACGAAGCCTGAACCACATATGTTCAAGAGTATGAATATGTGTTTTTCATGAAATAGAAATTTGTCCCTATGGAACTGAGGATGCAGACCTGGAGAAGTAGGAAATAATTCTATATTGGTAAGGTATTAAATGGCAGCTTACAGAGACATGATTTTTTTTGAAGAGGAGTGACAGATTGAAGTTTGCACTTAAGGAAGATTAATCAGGCATTGTAGAGAGTGAATTCATTACATCTCTTGTCAGGGCAAGCAAGCTGAAGGGAGAATCTGGGAAAGGAGGTTTCAACCTAAAGAATTAAAAACAAATTAGGTTTCAACCTAAAGAATATGAAGTATTAGTTAATAAAATAAAAGGTGAAATAAGTAACTGAAGCTTAAGAGAGAAAAGGTCTGATGGATGTTATAAATTTCATAGTTATATGTCAGGGAGGCTTAAGTCATGAGAACTGCAGAACTTTCTTATGAATACTTATTAGAAGGACATATTCAAACCAATGCTGATCAGGGTTACAAACATAAGGACTCTAGTTTGAAATCTATTACACAACATGGTGACTATAGTTAATAATACTGTATTATATATTTCAAAATTGCCAAGGGAGTAAATTTCAAATGTCTTGCCACAAAGAAAATGATATGTGAGGTGATTAATGTGTTAATTAGCTTGTTTTAATTATTCCACAATTTATGCATATATCAAAACATCAAATTACCTCATAAGTATATATTATTATTATTTGCCAATTAAAAATAAAAATAAGAAATTTGGTTTGCAAAGCAGAAACAGGAACATTCCTCAGCCTCACAAATATGGTCTACAACCATTTTTAGTGTGTCCTCTAGAAGAAATGTTGAAACTATTTACTTCAAGTAAACCTTGAAACCATGCAGTATGAGCCCTGAGGCACTTTTATCAAAGCAAAGTGATCTTTCCTGTCTAGGCTAAAGAAATAGATGCAGTGTCAAAAGGGGCTGCGAGGAGGCACCTCGCCCACTTCCTCCTGGGGCTTTTATCTGGGCTCCCTCTCCAGACCAGGCTGTGAACCCAACCCAGCCTACGACCTAAAAGAGCAGAGAGCCTATTGCAGATACACCAGATGCTACATGTGCAGAGGACAGGCAGTCTCAGTGACTGACCTATTCAGGATAGGAAACACGACACTCCCTCTGATACAGACCACAGACCTAGAAGAGTCTGTTAGGATGATTCCCTGCTATCATAGACATTAAGCTTCCATAAGAGAAGCAACTCTTCTAAAACTCTATTTATTTATTTACTTATTTGTTTGTTTGTTTATTTATTTGGAGACAGAGTCTTTTTCTGTCACCTCGGCTGGAATGCAGTGGCACGATCATAGCTCACTGCAACCTTGACCTCCTGAGCTCAAGCAATCCTCCCACCTCAGTCTCCAAGGAGGCAGGGCTACAGGTATTCGTCTTACTGTTTGGTTATTTTTTTTTTTTAATTTTTTTTTTTTTTTTTTTGTAGAGACAGGTCTCACTTTGTTGCCCAGGCAGGTCCCAAACTCCTGGCCTCAAGTGATCCTCCCACCTCAGCCTCCCACAGTGCTGGATTATAGGCATGAGGCACCATACCCAGTATCCATCCTAAAATCTTAAAAAGCTAAGGACATTCAGAGTGGCAACTCAGCTAACTCTGCTCTCAACTGACCTTCAGAAATTGGGTTTGCCCCTAACAGCCTTAAGAAGTATCCAGTCTTTTCTCTTCAAGTTCTTCTGAGCCAGGGAACTCTTCATTTGAATAAACGTTCCCAAGCCTTGATCTACCTCAGAATCATGCAAGGAACTTTCAATAATTTGAGACTCTCGAGCCCTTCTCCAGAATATTTCTATCCAGTAGATCCTGGTGAGCTTGAGCCACTATTGTTGAGAAGCTCTCCCAGATGATTCTGATACTGCTGATCCAAAGACGCCCACGAGGGCAGCACTGTTTAGGGGTCCTCAGGCCCGGCCTGTTGCCTCTGCTGGCCTAAGAACTTAACCCTTTGACTCTGATTTTTCCTGCCATGACATCGTCTCAACCTTCTGCCACCCATAAGCCCAAATCCATATGCACATTGAGCATAAGCATTTCTTTCACCATTTAAGTGGTTTTAATTAAACTTAGGTTTGTTCTACCTTAAAACATAATCCAGACTAGCTCTCTCTCTGTATTAAGTTCCTAGGGTTTCCTTGTATCACAACCAAGTGGCTTAAAACAAGAGGAGCAACTTATCTCACAGTTCTCGAGGCTAGAAATCCAAAATCCAGGTGCCAGCAGGGCCCACTCCCTCTGAAGCCTGTAAGGGACTCCCTCCTTGCCTCTCCCTGGCTTCCATGGGTTTGCCCGCAATCCCTGGCTCACTCCAATCCTCAGTCTTCACGTGGCACCTTGGAAGAAAGGGAAGGTCTACTGTCTCTCTAGCTCAGTAACATCTTGTCTGTCATCTTTTCCCCAAAGCATCCCAATTGCGTGTTTTCCCTTCTGATTTTTATTTTTATTTTTAATGAGTGATTTTTATCTCTCTGTGTCATCCCAGTGTCTTTCCTCTGTGCTTTTCTGTCTTTGCGTCAAATTTCCTGGTTTTAGTGCCATCAGTCATAAGGAATTAATGACTTCATTTTAGCTTAATAACTTCTATAAAAACCACATTTCCAAATAAAATCACATTCTGAGGTATGGGGAATTAGGACTTTAGTGTATCTTTTTAGAGGACAAAATTCTTCCCATAACACTCTTCTCAGCCCTTTACTGTCAGAGTATTCTCTTATTTACTCAATTATTCATAAAAACAAAATGCTCTGCTAACTGAAAGGTCTATGTCATTCATTACAACTAATCTATGTTAACTGTATTAATGTTAACGCTAATTTAAATGACTGCTTAGTACTTTACTAAACATTGAATAAAATTATTTGTTAATTAATTCTCATTAAATAAAATGACTCTCTTGCTATAGCATGATTTACATGCCATGGAAATCATTTCTTATGTTGACTTTGCTTTTACAGACCTGGCTTCCTAGGACAGAATACAAAAGTATGACAATTCATGTATTTTTATTAAAATGATAGTTTTGCTCTTAACCTCTCAGAAAAAAAATCAAAAGATACAATTTGATCATAATCATTTATTGGTGTATGTCCTTTTTATTACCGATGATTGCAGCTCTATGCTTTTTGTGTTTTGTTTTACTTTTCTCTTGAAATGTCAGCCCTATTTTTAAAGTAAGTTGATTCTTTCCAACCTCTTCTTCCGTATCTTTTGCTGGCTCCTTGTTCTCTACTCACCTTGTATTAAGTCCCATTTTTGGTTCTAGTCTCAACTATCTACTCTCTCTCCCAAGGTGATCTCATCCAAGGCTTTTTAAATATCAATATTGTTCATGATTCTTAATTCTAAATATGCAGTCCAGGCTTGCCCTCTGGGTTCCACACTCGTATACCTGACAGCTTTGGCCTCAAGTCTCAGAATCTTAAAGTATCTAAAACAGAACCCTTATGTATCCAAACACATCTGCTGCACTTACACACACACACACACACACACACACACAATACCCAAGCACCACAGTTCATTGTGTTACTCATGATGTAACCCTTCAGTATTGGCTAATGCAGAATGGTTTCAATACCAGTCACAGTATAACTCAAGTCTCATTAGTAGACAAAATTTGAATTTCACTAACCTTTATCTTTTCTAAGTTTCATAACATGAACCACAATGTTGAAATAAAGAAAGAGAATGGAAACAAAATGATTAAGAATTATATTACAGAGGAGAAGAAAAGAACTATTAAAATTAAAACCATGTCAAAGCCAAAGTATCAGTATAAATACATAGTACAAGAAATATATTTCGGCATTCGCTGTCCAATATCTATGACAGGTGAGCTGCATCTTTCATAGCACTTAGTTAAAAACATGTTACCACAGCTACACCAACCCCCTACGGACCCCTCTTAACACATTTATCTCGGCACTCTAGTGTCATAGGTGCTTTACTCACAGGTGGTTTGAATGTGGTATAGAAAGAAACTTAACTAAACTTCGTTTCCACTGTGAGAAAAAAATGCTGGTTTTCTTTAATTTAAGAGAATGTTCTCTATTTATTTATTTATTTATTTATTTATTTATTTATTTTTATAGAGTGTCACTCTGTCTCCCATGTTGGAGTGCAATGGTGGCATCATAGTTCACTGCAGTCTCGATCTCCTGAGCTCAAGAGATCCTCCCACCTCAGCTTCCCAAGTAGCTGGGACTAGAGGCACAAGCCACCACGTCTGGCTAAAATTTTTTAAAATTTTTTGTAGAGATAAGGTTTCGCTATGTTGCCCTGACTGATCTGGAACTCCTGGACTCAAGCAATCCTCCAACCTTGGCTTCCCAAAGTGCTAGGATTATAGGCATAAGCCACTGTACCCAGTCAGATGTTCTCTACAATAAAAAATATTCATCTATGAGTTAAAAGCTGCCTATTTTCCCTAAATTTTGTAGGGTTTTCTGGTACCACAGATATGTCCAGTGAAAGTTTTGAGTTCTATTTCCCTGATTCATAGGTCTAATAGTAAGACTTTCACCTTGAAGTGACAAAAGGTGCAATGAATGTCCATGGGTAATAATAACATCCTGAGACAAAGTTGCGCTGAACATGCCAAAGTTGCGTTGAACATGCCAGAGTCTGACCTCTGTGAGGTCGGAAAGATGTCTAAAGCTCTGTGGGAATAATGCCTGCCGAAATTAGTTCAGTGCTTCACTAAGGCTACTCTCAGAAAATGGCTCTGAAATGAGATGTGGCATGTCAGACTTTGAAATCATGCAATTAAGGTTTATTTAAAAGTGGTACCTGAAAAGAATGTGCTAAAAGCATATGATCAAGTGTTTCTTTTTATGTATAGATTACACCTATCTAATAAGTATATACAGTATTATAAAACAAGCAAAACTGAAAGTATCCTTCCAAAAAAAAATGTACTTAAAGGCTCTTGGATGACTAGATGAATTAGTGACACAGTAACAAATCACTTCTTTAAAAAAAAATTATTTCACATAGTTTTTGATGGCCCTGTATTCATACTTTTCACTTTCTCTTTAATTTCATCTAGGAAAATCAGGAAGATTACAAACATAAAACCATGGAGCAAACACCTTGAGGGCAGAAGCCTGGAGAAAAACTAATGATGAAAGACAGCCAGAGCAGTGGAGTGAGGAAAGTAGACAATGACTGAGATTTTGCAAACCAAAGCTCATCCACAGATACTAGCTTGAAAAGGATATGTTTGCTCCAAGTAAATTTCCCAATTTGAGTTTTTATTTTCCCACTCCGGACAGTAGTTCAGAGGAAATGGGAATAAGATAATGAAAAGCTTTTTATATGTTTCTTTAACTTTTAGGAGGAGCTAATGTACCATCTATTTGATGACCTCCCAGTCAAGCCTTAGTCATGAGCATGTAGATTGTCTTCAGCAGATGTGTTCTCCCAATGCCATCCTCTTTTAACACCCTCGTTAGTTCACTGCCTCATAACCTCCATTGTCTGATAGCTGGTGGAAGCAGAAAAAAACATAAAAGGGCAAAAAAAAGACAATTGGTTTCAGTAGAAAGTGTACCAGATTTGGGAAACAGGGATCTCTACCCTATGATATGCTGAAGCAGGCTTATATGGACTCGGAGTTAGAATTGGTTTTGTTAGATTTTTAGGAATTTTGTGAGCTAGTTGTTAAATACAGCCATTATTAAAAAATAAATTATGCAAACTTAAATGTAAAGAAATCCTACTAAAAGCCAAGATACTGAATAGTTAATAGTTATTCCTTCCAAATTATTTTGCTGTGTTTTACTTTACCAATGCTTTTGAGGTTATGCCTATCTTATGTATATGATGGAAATGCTATATAAAGGTAAACTTGAAATTGGTCAAGATGGAAGTATCTACACCAAAGAATTTGGCAAATCCCACAAATCAGTGGTTGCTTATTGTTTTGTTGATTGTCTAGGCTTTTTAAATAATGGAGAAATATTTTAAGTAATGCATATTAAACCTAAAAGTGTGTCATGTCTATAGACATTACATTGTCAATAGCATGAAAGAAACTGAGGAAATAATTTTTAAGTATTTAAAAACTATTATCCAGTTCAGCCAAGAATCTATTCATGTAATTGATGAAGTAAAGTTCTAATATTTTCTTCCAATTTTCACTTTCCTCTTCTTAAAGCAAACAAAAATATTCACCAGCATTCATGTCAGATCTATAAAACCAAGAGTTTGTCAAACTCAGCAAAAAGATTCTGCCAAAATTAAATGGCTGTATGGAATTCACACTAAAGACTATTACATATTTTACTACTGCTAATCATTTGTCAGCTGAGAGTTACACATCTTTTACATAAAGAAGATTATCTTGTATGATATTACAATGTAATATATACATATGTTTTGTTTTGGTTACAATTCAGTTGTTAAATGCTTACCATCACCCCAATATTTCTAACATCCCAAAACTACTGATTATGGATAAATTGTTTAACTCTGTGAATATCAACTTCCTCACCTGCAAACAAATGAAATGAGTATCTACCTCACAGGATAGTTTTAAAAGTCAAAAGAAATGTTTATGTCAAAACCCTGTATGGATTGCAAATGTTATGTATTATCAGAAATTCAGCAAATATGTTTTAGCTCCTAATATGAGCTCTAACAACTTGCAGAGTTTGCAAAGGTCACTAATACTATGGTCCCTACCCTCAAGTTGCTTACAATCTAGTGGTGAGAAATATGTGTTAATAACCTAAAATTATTTAAGAGTGTATCAAATGTTTTATAACAGAGGAAAAAGTGAAGTGCTATGAGATTATAGGAATATAAGGGATTTTACCTGGAGCACCAAGGAAGACTTCGTTAAAAAATGGAATTTTAAGATAAGCTTTGACAAATAAGTTGCATTTGTATCAACTGAGAAAGTGGAAAGAGGGGCATGCTTGGCTGACGGATGAAATCTCAAAAACATTATCATCACAATGCCTGTTAAGAAAATCATAATTGCATTGATAAATCTGCTACATAAAAACCTTACTTGTTATTTCCATGTAAAATAGAAATTATGCATTATAGATTATGCAATCCAGCGTGCCTATCCATAATCTTACATTGAATCAAGAGTTGACTCAATGTTTAGTCAGTTTTTCCAACTTACAAACCATGTCCCTTTCTAAAAACCAAAGTACAAATCAAGCTCCTGCCTTCTTAGTGAAAGAAAACATTCATATTGTAAATTTTTAAAATTATTTTTCAAGAAAACTATAAAATATATTTCATTCAAGTATTTCACACGACAGAAGGCACTATCCATTAGACTTAAAAAGTGGTCACTGATTTCAAACCTACGAATACATAAATTACGCATGCATTAGGTGAACAATGAAGGGCACATCCAAAGTGAGGTTTTCATGGGAGACTGGAACACGAGACAAGAGAAAAGTGAAAACATTCTAAAACCTTCATGTAAACAAGGACTAACTACTAAAAAGCACGATTTTATCTCTCAGTTAATAAGTCTTGCAAGGGATGACATTACTAAGTAAAGTTCATTGCAAGCTTTTTCCTCTCGCTTGTCAAAATATGCTAGGTTTATATTTGTGACTCGAAAAAAATATACAATGCTTGGAAGAAAGCTTGACAGAGCACTCAGAATCTGTCTCAAGTATAACGCAAGGGAGATGTCTATTAATCTCTCACACACACAAGTTTGACTCAAAAGGTCTGTGGCCTTGACCTCAAGTGACCATGGAATAGACCACAGGGCCAGTCCAGGATCCAAAGGGATTAAGAGGAGCATTTGCTCTGCTCTGAAAGGCCCTTTTTTCTCCACTCTAGTTTCTAACTTCCCATTACACACACTCCCTCTGAAAGGCACCGCGCCAGTGGAGCCGGTTCACTCTGTTCTCTCCTTTATGACAGCTGTCAGTCTGTCGCCGCCTGAACATGCAACATTTCAACAAAATCCAAAGCGGAATTGGAAGGGCAGGGGCTGAAGCACACAGCCTGATCTCCTTCCTGGAGGTCCCAGACTCCTTAACCATCACCTTTTAACCTGCCGAAGGTAAGAACCACCTCACTCTTCACTAACAGAGTTGAGGAAGCTTCTGTCTCCTCAGAACCTAGGCATTCACACACATTGTGTAATTAAGCAACATTCCTGGATATCATCCTAAGAAGAAAGAGCCCGCAAGTCCCCGTGTAACTTCATCACGAACTCGGAGGGTGCTAAAGCCAGGTGTCGGATCAAGGGGCAGGGAAATCGCTCACTTCCCCGGCGCCTGGACAGCAACCCATGGACCGCGTGGCGACGCCGGGCGGGAGCGCGGCGAACCCCAGCGCGCGGGACCGGGGGTGAGACCGCGCCCTCCCGCAGGGCAGGGGCGACCCAGCGAGTGCCCGCGGCTAGAGAGCAGTGCGAGCCCAGCCGGGCAGCGAGGAGGCTGGGAGCCGGGCGGAGCGCCCTGCTCACCCTTTAGCCCCTTGCCTGGAGCTGCGGAACCGCAGAGGGAGCCGGAGAAGCCGGTCCTAGAGCAGGGACCTGTCCTGGGGCAGGGGCGCGCGGGGCACTCACCAACTGCAGCGCGCAGAGGCAGATGAGCGAGCAGCGTCCGGTGCAGCAGCCCATGGTGCCGGCAGCGTCCGAGCGGCGCTGACTGCCAGAGATCCGCGTCCTCCGCAGCTGCTGCCTCCTGACTCCGAAGTAGTCCCCGCCCGGCCCGGCCCAGGCTCCCTGGCCCCGCGGCCGCCGCTCGCGGCTCCTGGGCTCCGGGCTCGCGCCCGCCTTTGTTAGTTTCCCGGCGGGGCGGGCCGAGGTCAGTGCGGCGTGCACTACCCGAGCGTCTGGCGGGGGTCCCTGCGTCCCACTGTGCAGGTCTGCTTCTTGGGGACGGGGAGCCAGGCAGGCGGGGCGGGGGGCGGAAGGAGGCTACAGATGGCGAGTGGGTGAATGTCTGTTTAGGGGAGGGGAGTATGTAGGAGGTGGGCGTCTGGAAAGTGGAGTGGGCTGTCTGGGTCCGGGTGTGTGTGTGTGAGTGTGTGTGTGTGTGTGTGGTGGGAGGGGAAGAATGAAAGGGAGTGCCGCTGGGGAGGATCGGCCTGTCTAGTTAGGAGTCTTTGGGGAGAAAGGAAGAGGAACAGAGAGAAAAGAGAATGAATATGAATGAGCGTGAATTAGGGCGGCCGGCGGCGATGGAGACCCACGTTGACCGGTGTAACTGGGTAGACCCAGCTGGGCTTTCTCGCTGAGGGTTGTGCTGGGGATTGGGAGGGTGGTCGGACGCGTTTGCAACGGAAGGGACACGGCTTAGTTGAGCTGCCCCAGAGGTGGCGAGGATGGGAGTTGGGATGGCTTGGGGTCAGGGGAGGAAGGGTCGGGGCGCGAGACACCCAGGATGGGCGGGCGCGGCGGAGCTGAAGGCCGAGCTCCGGAACCTGCCCGTCTGCTAGGGGGCCGGCGGGCGCTGCGCAGGTGAGTCTGTTCAGCCGGCGTTGAGCTCTCAGGTCGGGGGTCTCCGAGCCAAGGTCGCTTCTGCCTGCCGCAGCCGGTTGCCTGGAGGACGCCCCTGCTGGAGTCTGAAAGGGAAAGTTGGACAGAGTTGGTTGGCAAGGGGCGCTGCGGCTGAGAGGTGCTCTGGCCCAGGGCGCCGGGACTAGCCAGGACGCCGCAGGGAGACCTGGCTTAGGGTTCTCAACTCACAGACCCTTTGAAATCCTCACCGGGAGGCAGACAAGAGAAGTCGAGAAAGAAGAAGATGCGTAGCTTTTTCTAGAAATGGGGAAGGTTTCCGGAATGGGCATAAATATGTCTTCATAGAAATAAATTGTTTGAGAAGGATTTGGAAATCAGATCTCGGATAATTAAGATACAGACAAACTCTGTGAATCCTGTGGAAACTCTCCTCTCTCTCCCACTTAATAAAAGAGAGAGGAGGCGTTCTGCAGAGGATTAAATTTCATCAGGGCTCAAAGTCAGATTTTATGGGCGCATTTGTTGTACCTGGTGGAACTGCGCAAGGAGCTCAAAAGCACACCAGAACAGGGAACAGGCCTGCAGGCCAATTATCTCGGAAAAGGCTGTCTTCAGAATGTGGCACAGAAACCCTGTTTCTAGCCCACTGCTGCCCTCCTGGGTTCTTCGCGGTAGGTTGGTAAGAAAAGGCAAGACATCTTTGCATTTTTAATACTTCCACTCTAGACATGGAAACTGCTCAAGCCCTTAGTTTGGGCATTAAAAGCAGTCCTATTTTTATTTTTATCCTCTTTCTGAAACGTTTCTTCAGGATCTATGTTTATAATTTAAGACGGTTATCATTCCCAAGGAAGTCTGCACATCTTTGAAATTCTAGTAGGGACACAAGAATAACTTCAGGATTTGCGTTAATAAAAGGGTCAAGAACATTCATTGTTTACATGCCACCTCTGTTATTATCGTGGAGAACGGAGAAGTCGAGTCAGAACTCCCCCTCCTTTTTTAACCCAAGCTTTAAGACATCAGTGATCAAGGATCATGTGAGCACGCTGCCTTTATGCACAATCCACATACTTGCCATCATTCTTGATGGATGAAAACAATAGGAAAAAATGAACACTGAACAATAAGTAGTTTAGCATATAGAAAAGGACGTTGCAGAACATCTCAGGCCATTGACCCTCTAAAAGCTGTAGGAAGCAGCTGAAAAGTGAGAGGACATGAACAAGTCTTCTATCTATAACTTCCAGAAACTGTTGTAAACTCTTCATCTCCAGAGACTGTGATGAATGATGGTAATAAAAATACTGACACTTTCTTCTCTCCAAATCACATATGTTTACCCCAGTATACTTTGTCATGATTTTATTTATTTAGGAAGTACCATATTAGCAGCTAACCTGCACTGGGTCCTTGCCAGGTGCCATACACCCATCTAAGTGCTTTATATGTGTTCACTCATTTAATGATGACTGCACCCTCATGGGGTGGGTGCTGTGAACATCACCATTGAAAAGATAGGGAAACAGGAGGAAGGGCTCCCCTGGCTGCTAAACCAGGAAGAGGAATGCAAAGCCAAAGAATTTGACTCTAGAGCTCCTAGATTTACATATTCCCTATGCTGCCTCTGAATCTTGGGACACAAATAGCAGTTACCCACAGGGAAGCTAACTGTTCCCTCATAAGTAGGTGTAATAATGTACATTGATCTAACATTCAGAGTTAGTATCACCCATGTGGTATGATTTTAGGAGATCAGGAGGGTCCCTTGTACCTCTCCCTTTCCCATTGCCGCCTTTACTGATAGCCTCAAATTGGAGTTTCTTCCTTGTGTAATTTAAGACCATTGAAAAATGCATTTGTACTAAATGCATTTAAACAAGAAACAAAGATAACACAATGCTAACAAGAAGTCTAGAAATTGTGTGAAGCTACCTTCATTTCTCTCTGCAATCTCTTCTCATTTTCTAAATTGTATTACATCCTGAACTAAAAATCTTTCTCCCTTCCTTTTTTTCCTTCCTTTCTCCATCCTTCCCTCAAATACTTCTTACTAGTTCACTTCTTAATTGCTTCTATGCAAAGGGCTGTGCTAGTTGCCTGCTGGGCAAAGGTAAATGGTATCACGCCCTCTCTTCCCCTCGAGGGCTTACAGGTGGGAAGGGAGAGCAGATGCAGGCATAAAGTAGCACTCCCTCTGAAAGAGGTTAGTGCCAACTGGTTTCATTAAGTGTTCTTCCTGTGAGAGTTAGAAAGGTTTAAAAGAGGAATTACCAGTCTCTTGGGGAGAGGAAATGAGACTAGAAAATGACAGAGCAATGGAAAGGATGGGGCCTGGACAGGAGTTTGGTGAAACCAACTGGAGTGGAAATAACCTAAGTAGAACAGCCCATCCGATATATGGCTGTTAATACTGCTTCTTGGCCGTAGAATCTCAGGGAAGCCATTTTGCTCCCCTGTGAGCCCTATTTTCCCCATACTTAAAGTGGGTATGATAAAAATGACTGCGCCAGAGGGCTAAGCCTTAGCCTTTTCCCCTTGCTTGTCTCTGTGGAGTTTACAGCCTTGATTCATGCAGGCCTCAGCCTCATGTCACATCCCATGGAGGCCTTTACTTAACAGGCCTCCTAAAGTAATACTCCAGTCACTCTATTTTTCTTCCAACTAATTGTTTGCATACTGTATGATTTCCTGTCTCCCCAACTCAAATACAAAGCTGTTTTCCCAGTGCTTATAACAGTAGTTAAATTCAATATTTGTTGCAGGAAGAACAATGATGGGTGTACATTTTTAGCATAATACTTCACACATCATGTTGAACATATATGTATACATGCACATATATAGTATGCGGTGAGTATTAAACATATGCATACACACACACACACACTCTTCTTAAAGCCATTTGAGTCTATGTGTTTGTTTTGTCTTGTTTTTGTCTTATGTCTATCTCTCTTCTATGCCTTTATTTCTTGGTGAAATTCCTTTTGAGAAACTTCAGTCCTATCTCCCTTAAGGGAAGAGTGAGTTGTCCAAACTAACAGATAACCTGGGGGAGACAGCACATCCAGAGGCCAGATCTACAAGTGCAGATTTCTAGATTCCCAACTTCTGGGGATTCACTTTCAAATACTGGCTGTGGGGCACCAGCTTTAAGTTTCTCCTTAAATTAAGATTATTTTGAATTAAAATTACTCCTTAATTATTGCACTGTTTTTTATTTGTTTAATTGTTTGTGTAAGCCTCCCAGTTCTGCATTTTTACTGAGTCGAAGAGTTTATTGCCTGATTAAGCATTCTACCTCCATTGTGAAAAGTTCTTCAAAGTATTAGTAAATGTATGTGTTTCCTCTGATGCCTACATAATTGTGAGAACCTCATTGGGGCCTTCATGGAGCAAGCAAATTATAATTCTCTTCATGATTCTCTTCATCACTTCATGATTATCTGACAGATATTTCAAAGCAGTATGCCAGCTCAGGTGGAGTGAAGATAAGGTTTACACTGGAGCAAAATGTAGACACACATGTTTGGTGAGTTTGAAGCATGCCTGGGAAGGGCTGCAGAACATAAGTGTGCCATTGCATGGCTGTTGAGACAATCCTTCTTGTTAGAATTGGTTCACTTATTATGCGTAGCAATGGATGTATGAATGTTGGGGGCATACAAGAGGGAAAAATGATAACAGTTATATTTTTTATATTTTCTTACTCTCTAAAAATATATTTCTTGATATTTTAAGCACTTTACATATGAACATTTAAAAATGCCCCCCAGATGGCTGTTTAATTGACAGATAACAAAGAAATTGGAGATGGACATAGGTGTGGGGGTGTTTCTAAGGTCACTGGAAAGCTTGTAGAGTGGGAGAAACCAAAGAAGAAAGGATAAGAAAAGTTATTTGGTATATTTTGATTGAATAAATATTACTTATAATTAGTTCTGCAATTGGAAAGATATAGCCAAGCACTTTTTCTCCATTTCTGTTTTGTTTAAAAATAAGCCTCAATTAACATTAACTCTATCAGTGGCCTAAAAACACTGATCTGGTTATCATAATTAGTACTGTAGTGATACAGATTTAGTGTTTTTCTCTCTCTCTCTTTTTTTTTTTTTTTTAGATGGAGTTTCATTCTTTTTGCCCAGGCTGGAGTGCAATGGTGCGATCTCAGCTCACTCCAACCTCCGCCATCCGGGTCCAAGCGGTTTCCTGCCTCAATCTCCTGAGTAGCTGGGATCACAGGCATGCACCACCACTCCCAGCTAATTTTTGTATTTTTAGTAGAGACAGGGTTTCACCATGTTGGCCAGGCTTGTCTCAAACTCCTGACCTATGGTGATCCATCCACCTCAGCCTCCCAAAGTGCAGAGATTACAGGGGCGAACCACTGCGCCTGGCCCATTTAGTGTTTTTTTAATGTCATTCAGTGAGCAGCCCCCACCTACACTGGCAAGTTCAAGAATTCCTCACTGCTTAATTTACTGCTGAGTATTGGCAACCACTGGGATTTCTCTATAACGTACATGCATATTGTGTACCTTCGGAGCCACATGTCAGAGTCCTCATATCAGAGATACAAACAATTCATTACAACCATTAAAAACTCAGCTGCTCTCTGCTTTCAAGATTTCAGGAGCTCAGATCAGACAAGTCCTCATGGGCTAGAGCCCCAACAATTGACAGTAACAAAGTAAGAGCGAGGGTAACATGATTGAAATGAAAAGAAAACACAAATACAGTCTCTGCAAATCCTGATGCCACCTTGAACGTTTTCTGTAAGCATGCATGTGTGTATTTATTAGATTACATTAAGCACTCCAAAGTACAGAGAATAATGCCCCCACTACCTTCCATTTTCAAAGAAAGGAGGCACTGCTATAACATAGGCAGAGAGAGAGTATTCTATCAGATAATGTACTTTTGGAGCAGATTTTCACACACCTGTCTGGCTCAAGAATCAACCTTATATTACTGCATTATGTTTCTGTAAAAGGTTTCCAACAAGAAAGGTGAGTGAAAGGTAATGGGATCTCTGTGTATTACTTTTGCACCTTTTCTGTACATCTAGGATTATTTCTAGTTAAAAATAAGAAACAATCTTATACAAACGTGTGATGCATTTACAGTAAGCATATGAAATACTGAACAGATTGCCCATCAGAAACGTAAAACCTAACACAAAA